CGTCTTCGCCAACTGTATTCCTCTTATTCTGAAATATCTGAATCAAAATATTTCCGCCTTTGTTGCTGCTAAGAACACGTAAGTAAGCTGTCTCTTTTCTTAACTGAAAATATCAATTCTCCTTACTGGCTGCAGTATTTATCTCTTAAGACTAGTGTTAAGAATCTGGTGACTGATCTTGGAATCAAGAGAGTGCAAACGAACTACCATTCAGCTTTCATAGAAATACATTTAACCTTTGAATATTTCCATGTTGAAGAGATAAAAATTGTTCCAGTAATTCATGTTTAGTTCTTCTTGATCCTGACCGTCTTTCTGAAGTTACTTGGTTCTATTTCACCCAATTAAGTCACTTGTCAATTCAAAAGACTTCGCGAACCATGTCTCACCGTTTGATCAGTACCTTGACCGGCTTAGCTTGTATTTTCGTTATAGTATACCTCAACTTGACTTCCCAGCATGCATCCTGGGTGACCCTTTGGAGCTAACCGCCGAAAGCCTGGTGAGTAGTGACCGAAAAGTGCCCCTACGTAAACATTTTCCTGAAATGGCAACGTCATGTTGTTCATGCAGTGCTTTCATTAAGCAGGAGAGTAGTACGAAATAAAAGGAAAATATTTTCTGCGTGTAATTGAAAAATAAAAGTCCAGGCCATCGAAATTTAGCCGAAGAATTCTCCTTTTTCTGATTACCCCCCGAAACTGGCGGTTCTTTTTGCGCAGAGCCTTGCAGACGAGCGGGAAGCCGTGAGAGGGTTTGGACCACGCGGGGTTGATCCCCGATATCAAATAAACAACTTGGCGTAACGGTTTTGTTTCAGTTTTACGATACTGTGCGATGTTTTCTACAGGAAAACGCTGATCAGGAAGCCTGCTGTTGGAGAAATCTGTTCTCATGCATCAACCTTGTACGCATTCTTCAAAAACTCACCAAATGGAAACACTCGCGCACAATGGTAAACGAAACTTCTTTTGTGGCGTTTTGCAGTAGTTGTTTTTGTTCATTAGTCTTAGTTTTTTTCCGTCTGTTAGCCCTTGGACAGTTATGGGGTGAAGGTAATGGGCTAACCCTTCTTCGTATTTGCAATTGTGACTATACGCAAACACAAAGAATACATTGATACCGGGGTAGTCTCGGCTTTAAGCTAAATATTCTCAAAAACCAGTAGGATATATACCCTCGATTCTAACTCGGCTTAACTTCTTCAAGTGAAGTACACGTGAATATCTTTCTTTAAAGTTTTCTTTGATTTAGCTTCAGTGTATTGTTTGTTTGTTTTTTTAGTTTTCCTTCCCATATAAGCCTTCGAGAGTGAGATTCGTATAATCTAGTAAAATTGTGTAGAAGGCGATAAAACTTAGAAGTGATCGAAGCCAAAAGTGACAAAGGAAACTGGTTGCATTGTTAACAAGAGTCTTGTCTTTCAGATGCTTGTTGTGTTTAAATCCGCTCCAATCTTAAAGCGTGTGTTGAAGGTGAAACACGAACTCCTTCAATTGTATGTTCTCAAGGTTAGTAAAGTTTTTGGTATTATTCTTTTCCACGGAAAATATGAAATTGGCATTTGAACCTTTTTAAGAATTGTATTATTGTTAACAAATATTGATGGAAGTGCGTCTTAGAATAGGAAAAAACGTCGTAGGGAAGCATCCCAGAGAAACACGAGGAAACACTGTCGGATCCATGTAGAGGATCTCAGAAGTCCGAAGCCCTTCCCCTCGCCCTCCCTTCCCGCGTCAGATTTCTCTTGTTTTTGTTTTTTTTTGTTTTTTTTAGCACTTATCTGACCCTTAAATTCTTGCAACGACAGAATCGCACTTTACTACTCAATATGAAGTATCTGTTATTTTATTTGTCTTGAAATATATCTCCCCTTATTTAGGGTCTAGTTTAAAAAAAGTTTCTCTGCCTTTTTGAATAAATGCTTGGACTCGCCCCCCCCCTCCCCCGTCGATAAAAATAACCTGGATCCACCCTTGGGGAGGTCACGAGGGGAAAAGCGAGAACATTTGCCTCGTCTTTTAAGTGAGGTTCTTGGAAGTAGGAAATTGCCTTTACTGGTGGGTAAGATGAATAAAGTAATCCAAATTTGATGAATTTGTATTGTTTATTTATTCCTTTTTACGTTGTTTTGTTTTCTCAGTTGCTGAAGGCGCAAACTAAGTTTTTAGGAAGGAACTGGAGAAAGAGTAACATGAAGACTATGTCCGCGATCTACCAAAGGGTCCGGCATCGGCTCAATGACGATTGGGCTTATGGGAACGGTGAGCACATCATTCATCGTGGATTTGACCTCTTATTGGTCGGCGCAAGTCATGTGAATGATTTCTCCCTTGAAAATTTCTCCCTCTTGCAATGGCCAAGCAGGAAACAGAACGTGACAGCCAACTAAAACACCCAAAAATTCGCGCGAAACTGCCACTGCTTTGAAATTATATTTGTCACAATATTCTTTTAGTGGAACCAAGACTGACAAAATACTAACGAGCAATTAGAGAAATTAACAAACAATTGTTCAATGGTACGAGTTTGGTAGGCCAATTATTTCAAAACATGTTTCCCCTTAACTTTTATCATAAGAGCTCGCACTCGTACTGTGATCTAAAGGCCTTCAAAAGTTATCCAACTGTTATTTTAATCAATAGATCTTGATGCCCGGCCCTGGGACTTCCAAGGTGAAGAAAACGCTTTGCGCACATGTGTAGATCGCTTCAACAACCGTCGATACGGCTTCGAGAATGGCGACCGCCTGGGAGAAAGCGTCGAAGAAGACGAGTATCAGCCGGTAGATAACGACGTTTTGAGCGTCTTAGGAGAGAAGATCGATTTGAGCAGCGATTTCAAGAATAACTACGAGAGATGGCTCGAGCGGGAGGTGTTTTCGGTGTCCATAGATTGGGATCAATTGTGCTCTTGTACAGCACAATGTGTGGAGTAATCAGCTACTTAGCATGCCTTCCTGTTTGACTCACTCGATCTGCACCATGTGTTGTGTACATAGTTTGTGCTCCTTGTTATGAAGAATGATAAAGTTATCAAATGTTTTTTTTTTCTGGTGGTCATTACCTTTTTTGGATGTTCTTTCAAGTCGCATAGTCCACTCTTTTGAACGATCACTCTGTGAAGCGACTACTTCCCTTCAGCGACCTCCATATAAATGCTCGTTAGAATTCTTTGCCAAATACCGTTTCAAGAACTCTTAAATTAGCGTCCCTTCTTCGATCTTCTTCACCTTACGCGACCCTTTTTGAGGCCCTAAATTTGTCAAAGCTCTTTTGTTTTTTGTTTCCAATAAGGACCATCATCAAGATAAAAGGAAATCTTTGGGTTACGCCGATGGGTCAAAACTAATTTATAAATAGGCATATAGATATACGCACAAATTTCAAATCATGTGGCCATGTCACTTAAAGTTTTTGTGGCAATTGATTTCTAGTGATTTAAAAGGGATTCTGTTTCAAACTGCCAATGTGCTTGTCACAAAAACCAAGAGTTAAAAAGACGCGTAGAGTACGCTAAGACTGTTTCAGAATTAGGATTTTTTAAGAAAAACTTTGTATAACTGCGTCATTAAACCAATGAGAGAAGAATAAGTGTTTTCTTTCAGTGGATGCAATTGAATTTTTCTCCTTTATTTTTGGATTTATATTTTGATCTTTGTTTTACGGGGACCACCTCCTTTGAGTGACCATTTCCCCTGCTCTTAAGGTGGTCGCACGAGAGAAGATTGATTGTATTAACCAACAACTGGAGGTTTCACCGCATTACAAGTTCACTCCCGACCACCTTTGCGAGCTTACCCCTGTACTAAAAAAATTTTGCCCCTAGAATCTTTCAACTCGTTTCATAACTCCCGAAAGGATTCTGTCGAAATCATACAATATCCATCAACATGAACTTTATGCAATGGGGCTACTGATAAAAAGTTATCTTAAACAGAACTGTGATTTTAACATTTTAAATCCTGTCATAGTGCACTGCGGCGCTCGAAAACAAATGAATACAGATTTGACATTTGAAGGCGATTGAGCATGGGTTTCCGTTTTGGACTGATATTAGAGTTAACGTCTGAAAGGGAAGTAAGCTAGATGATAATTTCGCCTCCACGACAACAGAGATTCCAAATCGATCCGCCAAAATTGTGGACTCCACACGGACCTATGTCAGCACTCTTTTGATTTCCTTAAAAAATTTTGAGAAAGGTGATCAACAACAACAACAACAAAATATATACGTGTTTCGAAGCAACGACTCTACCCACCAAACAACTCTTACTAATAAAAGGTAACCTTTTCTAGGCGTACATTGAGTAAAACGGAACACTGTACAAACGGCAGAGCTAAAAGGAGGGTGAGGGGGCTTGGGACAGGTTGTCGATACTCCACCCTACTCAGGCCCCCCTCGGTTTTTCAGTTCTTCGCCACTATGGCGCCGTTCACCATTGCGCTTCGCTTTAATTACTGAGCGCCTAAAGCAGGATCAAAATATCAGGTTCACGAAAAAAGAAAGACAAAAGAAAATTCGCTTTAGTGCTTCACAAACCTTTATTTCCAAATAATTCCATACTACAACTTTATGAAGGTTACTTGTACAAATACTGTTTACAAAAATCAGTTTCTATTTTGAAAGAAATTTTTCAACACTTTTGAAGTTGATATGATGTACTCCCAACAGAGCAACCTTCCTATAAAACTAGTCTTTCAACTTTAAATCTAACGGCGACTTGTTACTCGGGCTTCCTGTAGAATGCCCGAGTTATAAATTGGGGGTTGTTTTTCCCCGTCTTATGACGCAAAACGCAGTCAAGTTCTCATCACGCATGCGCTTTTGACTGTGACGCGCTTCTAAGTTTTCCTACAAGCTTTAAACAGAGATTGTGATCTTAGTAATAAAAATAATAATGATAATGATAATATTACTATTAACAATAATTATAATAATAATAATAATGATGATGATGATAATGATAATGAAATAATCCAGGTCATCGTAACATGTCTTCAGTTGTCTTTCTTTTCTTCTCCTGTTTGGTTCTCGCCTTTCTCCAGCTTGGTCTGATGGAAGAAAAAAAAAACTAATTAAAATAAATCTCAGGTAGGTATTAGTAACTGGTAAAATGTCAATCTCAACTTGAAACTCGAACCTGGAACCTCGAGTTTCGGAACGCTCATAGAATTTTATGAGAAAACTAGTTGATTCTCTTTACAATCCTAGTTCCTTCTTTCTTTACCGTAAATACATTCCTAATCTCCTTCTACATTAATTCTGTGCCCTTTCTAGAACCTCTTGTTCCCAATGAGCCGGCCAACATTATCAGCGCTTCTTTTCGAGTGTTTCTTCGTTCGCGGGAAAGTATGAAGCCTTGAACAAGTAACAAGCTGGCGTGAGGTCTGCAATTGATCATCAATATAAATCACTAGTTTGTGTCAAAATGACAGGTTCGTAAAATGGGATCATCTTTTAGAATGAGAAATGTTGGCTTTTTTTTGTTTTTAACGTGTATTTTACCGCGCTTTAGGAGAAATGCGATACTACTGCACAGATAGAAGATATCAGATTACCTATAGTAAATGTGTTACTCGTGCTGTGAAAATGGTAGATAGTTGTTCGAGAAAAAATGGAGTTCTGTGCACTGTAACACGATCTTCTTTGGGCCTGTTTTTTAACTAAGGACTTTCTTCCACTTTTGATTTTTCCATGAGCAAAGAATTATTCATAAACAAAGAGCTTCCACGTGTGAATTTGGTAAAGTGCGTGATGTAAACAAAATTTGGAAATAACATAGAAATCGAGCCTCAACGTGAGTGGTTGCTGCCCAAATTACCCCGGGGGATTCGCCAAAGTCCGAGACTGACACCTTCCTGATGCATTAACTTTTTTCCAAAAGTAAGCTTTTCTAAATAACTTGGGTGTCTTTAAAGATTTCAGAAATTTTTCCATGGAAACGTTAGGTTGAATCTTTGAATTCAGTTTTGTCAAATAACAGAAAAATCGATTTTTTCGGCCTCTGAAGGTGGGAAGTAACCTTACAGTTAAATGTATAAAAAAAAATCACAGAATTCCCTTCATTTAATAGACACTTGATAAAAGTTTCTTATCCCACGACGTTTTGAACTATCCATACAGCAACTCGTTTACCCTTTAACCCCCGGAAGCGATTAACATGAAACTTCTCTCTATAATATCCATACATTATCCAGCAAAGGGCAAGCGAGAATACCCAAACTTATCAGGTAGAAGTTGTTATCTTGATCTAATACCAAATTCTTCTCACTTATTTTCCAGGAATTGTGTAAAAGCTGGAGGGGAGAATATACAATCAGATCTTGGAAGTTAAAGGCCTAAAAGACTATTTGGGAAACTGAGATTGAGGAGATTACCTGAGTGTCAACATAATTCATTTTCACTGTGTTTTAACTGACAGGAAGAACACTTGATGGTCAAGTCTCTCACTAAGGTTTCTGCACAGTTACAACTAATTCAGTTCTCTCTCTTTTTTTTTTCCAACATAAAATCTTATGCAAACTTACTTCAACTTTCAAACAAGCATCACAGCGATTTTTGTTACTGACTTCTAAGTTTTCTCACAAGCTTTAAACAGAGACTATGTGACGAGCTATCTTTAGATCTGTTCTATCAAATAAATGTGTTATATTACTAATAATAATTATTAAATAATCCAGATAATGGTCACATGTCCTCAGTTGTCTTTCTTATCTTCTCCTGTTTTGTTCTCGTCTTTCCCCAGCTTGGCCTGATGGAAGAAAAACAAAAGTAATTAAAACGAACCTCAGGTGGGTAACGGTAACTGGTAAAATGTCAATCTCGACTCGAAACTCGAACTTGGAACCTCGATTCTCGAAATATTCGGGAATCGAGAGTCGAATTTTGAGGCTGGAGGATCGAGTTTCAAAACGCTCAAAAAGTTTTACAAGAAAACCAGTTGATTCTCTTTACAATCCTAGTTCCTTATTTCTTTACGGTAAATACTCCCATAAATCTCCTTCTACATTAATTCTGCGTCCTTTCTAGAACCTCTTATTCCCAATGAGCCGGCCAACATTATCAGCGCCTCGGCACGAGTGTTTCTTCGTCCGCAGGATATGTGAAGCCTTGAACAAGTCACAAGCTGGCGTGAGGTCTGCGTTGACATCGATATAAAGTACTAGTTTGTTTCAAAATGACAGGACCTGTCATTTTTTCACCAATCAGAATGCTGCATTCGTGGGCGAACGCAGATGATGAAAAGACAATAGCGTCCTTTCAGGCCCTCATTTTTAGTGCCAGACCCCAGGTAAATCGCTCCCCGACTCCTCCCAAACCTTCCTGCGGGCGGAGAAAGGCGTGTCCTGCAGCGCAAGTGACAAGGGCCTGCTCTCAGGCTAAATCTACACCCATCTCCCAACCCTCCCCTCCCACCTGTGCTTTAGCATATTCCTCCAAAAGATTATCGTATTGTCGTGTCAGTCCAGCATTCCGTTCTTTCAATGCAGCCAAATCTTTCTTCGTCCTTTCAAGCTCTGCCAGGATTAAAACCAAACCAGAAAAGGTCAAAAATGTGCAACAAATCAGATGTGAAACGTTCCCTGAGCTTCAGGTAGTTTGTTTATTTTAACTTTGAGTTCTGATTGGCTCCTTATGATATTTTTTTACTACTGGGCTGTTGTTACTATCTTGATTTTGGTTTTATGGTTTTATAACAGTAAACCACCAACCTTTGCATCTAAGGGTGACAGACACCTAATTTCTCTCCACAATATTACCCCTGAATCACACATTCACCCTTTAACTTCCAAGATCGCATTAGTAATTCAACTTCCCATCCACCATACAGTTCTTGTGGAGTTAGTTAGAAGAATTTGACATTGAACTCATAATCCCCTAATTGATATTTTTCTTTATTCTCATCATTTATCTGCTTGATACTGCATTGATATTGTAAGGAGAAATTGTGTCTTTGTCACTCATGGGGGTTAAAGGGTTAAGGAAATGATCACCAGCTAAAGAAGCTCTTGACTGGTAAACAAGTTCCTTTTGTCAGCACTTTAGGAAATGCATAGAGAACAGTGAAGAGAAAATACATCCTGATGTTTAAGGGGGCTTCCTTTTAGCTGCTTAAGAACACAGTTCCTTGAAAATTATTTGATAGCATTTTATGTTATATCAAGACAAAACCTGTCAACTGATTGGTTGTGTTTTCTCATTACCTTTCTGCTGGGTGATGTATAGAAATTGTATGGAGAAGTTCACCTCCCTGGAGCGATCATCAAACAGTCAACTTTCTGCTCACAGTATCAATACATTTTAGTGCAGAAAGGCAATGAGACATGAAGAAAAGAAGCCTTTAACTGAGGGCCAATAAATCCTCAGAGCTAAATTTTAAAGACATGTTGGAAAAACAGTATAGAGAATACATATTCAGATCTTAGGAGTGAAAGGGCTAAAGGGTTAAAGACAATTTGACCTCCCCTCCCCTCCCCCCCCCCCGCCTTGTTAAAAAGTGTCATACTTAGCAGCACCTTCAGATCGTTCTGAAAGCTTCTTGGATTTATCTTCCAAGGCTTCTCTCAATTCTTTCAACTCTTGGTTCATTTTATCTTCATCTTTTGTCTCTGTCTTTGTCTCTGTTTTTCCTTCTGTGTCATATTCAGATCATAGGAGTGAAAGGGCTAAATGGTTGAAGACAGTTTAACCTTTTCCTTGCCCCCCCTTCCCCCCCCCCCCCCCCCTTGTTAAAAAGTGTTATACTTAGCAGCACCTTCAGATCGTTCAGATAGCTCCTTGGATTTATCTTCCAAGGCTTCTCTCAATTCTTTGTGGTCTTGGTTTACTTTATCTTCATCTTTCATCCCTGTCTCTACCTCGGACAGAAGCCTTGCAACATTACGACGTAGCACTCTGTGAAGGGTAACAAGGTGAAAATTTATAATAGCCACAAAAATTGATTTTCAAAATTTCCTTACTTTTCCATGATAAAAAAGTGTTATCAAGCAGACTGATCATTTTCAGGTAAGTGATGCTAACTTCTTTAATTTTCCCATACAGTACTTACTATTAATAGTTCAGTTTTCCTCATTTCCATATATAGACTTTCAACAAAGAGATCCATGGTAGAATTTTGGGCTCAAACTCAAGTTAAATGGTTCCTATAACATGCCTCTTGCCTGGGACTCACTCATTTCAAAAGCAATAATTAAATCCCTTAACTCCAAAGACGCAAGAAGCAGTTAACCATTCTGACCATTTCAATTTTCATTAAAACTTAGTCAAAAGAATCATGTGCTCTTGCAAGAAAATAACCACTTACTGCAGCTGATACTTTCCTCTACTCTCTTTTCCTATTTACTGGATAATATGGTGATATGGTAAGGAGAAGTTCTGTTGCAATCATTTCTATCAGTTTTAGGGTTAATACTTAATAACACAGCTTACATCAAAAGAATCAAGGAAAATCCAGAAATGTACAGATTACGCTGTGCATGAAACAAGTTCATCTTAGCCATCACTTCAGCCTGAGGATTGTTGCGCAAGTCCCCTGTAGAAGTGGACACCAGCTTGTTATACTTGATGGTTTGACGAATTGAATCTAAAAAATAGTAAATTAATGAAAATGCAAGACTAATTTTGATGGTTTCAACACTTTTTTTTTGGCTAATGCTTTCTGTTGGCTGTCTATCACACAGAGGTTAAGAAATAACATTAAGATTAAGTTAGATATATAATTATATTCTCCACACTGTTCTCTTTACATTTTCTGTGGTACCACCTAGGAGAATTTGTTAAACAATCTGGAGCTTCTTAAACTGGAGATCATTTCCTTTATTCTCATGACCTTTACTTTAAGGAGAAATTAGAAGCCAAACACTCTTAAGGGTTAAAGGGAAACATTCCCTGAACATTCACATTTTAAGAGAAGCATGCTAAAGAATGCCCGCCAGCCATGATTAGAGTAAATTCAGTTTAATTACAAAGGCTATGTTCTATTTGGTTAGAAGAGATTCCATCTCAAAGGGCAAGAGAGTCCTGTAGTCACTTGAGACATAGATCAATGTCTACACCAGTCTCAATATCACACAACAAAAAATTCTTCAAAATAGCAATTCATGGGAAAATTTGGATTCAAAATAGAGTTTAACAAAATGGTTTTTCTGTTGCTTTATCAATAATAGTGACAAGTATGGTTGAAAAACTGAATCCCAAATCAATGGGAAATATTGGCCATTTTGAGGTTGTGCGTGAGACTGGCTCAGTTTCGCTTCAAAGCACACTATGGGGCTGTTTTGAGTTGAAAGCTATATACCTGGTGCTGAATTACCAAAATCAGCTGAACATTATACAGTTGCAATTCATAAGCAATGGCTTGCTTGTAGGGGAGCAAAGGTATCACAAAAACAAGAGGATTTGATGAAAAAGGTAATACGATCATGGCATACGTAAAATTAGGTTGTTCCCACCATTTTGCATGGTTTTGTTGTTTCAGAATTCATTGAGTCCTTTTTCTGTGGTTTCAGAGTCACAATAAATGATGACATAGACAATGGATTATCCCATAATCTTTTTGACCCTGATGGAGGTCTTAATCTTCAGAAAAAGTGCCTAAGACTTGGTTTGGAAGAAGAAGTCAGTCCATCAACAGATGTTCTATTCCCGATAGATGGATTCAAAGCTGGAATATTAAGGGTTCCTAAGATTGGCTACAGTCAAATTTGGAAATATTTGATTGAAGAAGTTGAGTTTAAGAAGCAACTGTCTGTGCAAAAACCCATAATGAAAGGTTACAACTTTTATTAGTCTGGTAAAGTATTAGGTTTATATAGCAAAACTGACAATGGACTCTTCTACATCAAGCCAAGTATTACCTTTATATTCAAAGGCTGGACCAGAGTATACTATAAAAATCTTAATAGGTGCCAACTCTGAAATTCAAAGAGCATTTTGCCCTTGCCCAGCTGGGAATGATGGATGCTGTAACCACCTAACTGCCACTTTATTTGCTATGGAAGACATCTTCAACAAATCAACCAACAATAAACAGACTCTAAGTGACCAGCCACCTTGCATATCAAAACCATGTACTTGGAACGTCCCAAGTAAAAGAAAAAAGAAACCAACAGTTATTCAAGAAGTTGAGTTTGAAAAGCATGTTTCTGGTAAAAAAAGGAAAGATGACAAGGCTTCAGCTAACATCACTCCTAAAGAACTAGGTGCTTCTCACAAACAGTAACACGGTGCAGATTTCAAACTTATTTTTAAGATTAAAAACAGAGACGAAAAAACAGGAAAAATTATTTGACTCTCTTTTGTCATTTCATATGCCCTTTCTCAAAATGCTATACCATGAGAGATGGTATTGAATACGAATCAAGTATCATCCAAATATTTGAAAATGAAACTAGCCAGAAGGTACGCTAGTCAAGTTTTCTTGTATCTGAGACACATCCATTTTAAGGTACGTCTACTGACGGAGTCATGAATGACAGCCAGATTGTTGAATTCAAGAACACTGGATTGAAGGAAGGAGAGTCTCTTGATGATGGAATATGCAGGCTTGGAATTTACAAGAAAAATGGTTTTGTGCCTGTTTCAATCACTGACGGCTTTCCTCAGCGATTCAATCTCTTGTTTTATAGAAACGATTTCATCTTTAAGATCTTTTGATTCGTTGAGACCTTCCACTTGATAAGCTTGGTCTTCAGTACAAACTTCAGTTTGGGAAGCTTGGTCTTTCTGAATTGTATTATCAGTGTTTACATCAACAGCAGGTAGCAAGTCAGTTCGATCGAAGGTCGTTTCGATCGAAACCAAAAGTCAGTTCGATCGAAGACAAGAGTCAGTTCGATCGAAGACAAGAGTCAGTTCGATCGAAGAGTAAATGATTATAAAAACTACAGTTTTGCAAGCGTATAGATAGGCCAACAGCATATTTTTCAAATTGCTGCAGGTTCTCACATTCGTTGCTGTCAACAATCGGAGCACTTGTTGTGGGCACTTGTTTTCACCTTTCGGAGGTAGCTGCGATTTCCGTATATTACGGCGCTTCTTTGGGATGATATTCCAAGGAAATATTGAAGGAAGTTAAATTCTACTCATCCTCATTCCTCTTGGAAAATGCGCTCCACAAATCCTTGTGCTTAGTGCGTCCTTCTATAAGGTTACATTTCGTATCAGTTGTACGTACACCTTTTTTACTTAAGGATCGCTTGGTAAAGTGTGAAATTAATATTTGGTGAATTTCTCCAGTTTTTGGTGCATCCAGGAACACAACAGCTAAATTTATCCATTTTCGAAGAGATCGATGTTTACGGTAGATCGAAGCTTCTTTTTCACAAACAACAGCGTCCCCCAAAACAATCTGATAATGCACTTCGAAGCGAAACCGACCCAGTCTCACGCGCAACCTCATGGCCAATAGGTTGGGTGGTGGTTTACAAACAGGATTGTATGATAGTTTGGATGACTCGACATCGATATAAAATTATACGCTGAAGGCAAGATTAGCT